TTTAAGAAAGACTGTTTTTAGGTTTTATCAGAGAAGGGCTGATGTCCTTTTCTAAGGGGGAAGACCAATAGGAGCAGTGGCCATAAGGCAACATTTGCAGAAGAGTAAAAACAGGGCAAACATGAAAGGCTTTCCCCCAAATCTGCTTAAGTCTGAACACAGGTCTAATTGAAGAGCGTTATAGGCTGGCAAGGAAGACAGGGTGCAAAAGAAAAAAGCTGAAGAAAGGTCAACTTCAATTGGAACATCTTCCTAAAAATCTAACTTAGCTTTTTGCATACGAATTGAATGTTTTCAACTTTGCCTTATTTGATAGCAGATCAACATGGAAAACATACCTTGGTTTGCAACCAAAGGAAAAAAAAAAATTGCAAGTGCAAAGGACAACAAAAGTATGGATTATTCCTTCAAAGAAAAAAAATCTGATTTCAACATCAAAGAACTACATAATTTCAAAGATGTCAAAACATCAGTCTCAAAGCATGTGATGCATCTAAAATTTTGTACTTTAGTTCAAGTGTTAATTAAGTTAGATTACTTGGAAGCTTAGTAACAGAATAATAGAAAAGATTTAAGCTCAGAATTGGGAAACAGTAGAAGAGACTAATTTTACCAACTGACACTGGTCTTCACAATACTTAATTTTGTTCTAATCATAAACTATCAAACCATTTCCCACTTATTTAATTTTATGTATTCCAATTTTTGCTCTTTTCATTGTAATACCAAAAAAACCCACAAATAAATTACCAGCATAGAAATGATAACGTCTCTCAAAACATGAGAATAGTCTGTGAAATTTGAATAATTGCAGATTTTCAAAGTCTAGATGTTTATCTAAATATTTTCATTTCTTCTTATGAATTCTAAAATTACTTGGATTGCTTTTTTCTGTTTCATCTGAACCTTACGTCTTGGATGATCTTCCTTCACAAGAAGCCTAAATGATACACTGGTATGTTCTTTCCATCCCCACCCCAATCTGATTACTTTGGTGCAAAACAATACGTATACTCAGCTTTGCAGCACAGATCTCCTTGATCATTTCACATGCTTCAGCTTTCCACTGCTATTTCCTGCTTTAGCTGTAGATAGTTATTTTTCAGTCTATGCGCATAGTTGTGCGTATGCACTATGGGATGCATTAGAGCTGAGCAGATGGAAAGAAATACCAATTCAGATGATAATAATAAGTACAAAGGGAGGAAGAAGTTGTATAAAGTATGTCACCTGATGTAAAATCATATTCTGTGTCCCTGTTCTGTTTAATTCCTTATGAATATCCAGAAAGCAGATTCAATTAAAGCAGTATCAATTAAAATAATAGTTGTGGAGTTACAGTTCAATCATTTAACTCAGGAACAATGCTCAAAATGAAAAAGTTGAAACTAATTAGATAGAGACAGCAAGTCAGAAAGAAAGAACAATGGGGAATAGTTTTGCAGAGGTCAGAAATGTTATTGCAAATGAATGAACTTGATAAATGATATTACTAGTAAGGCATCACTATCATTATCAGCAGCTGCCACCCGACAAAAGTAAGGAAAGCCACTGAATGACTTGCATACATTATATTTCAAGTGACCAATGCCTGATTTTGAATATTTCCCTTCTCTCTCACAAGTCAATGTCAAGGTCATTTCCTATTTACCTGATATGACGAAAGAGAGGATAATGCAGTTATTACCCAGCTGCTTGGGAATGCAGATGAGGAGATGCATCTCCATAACATGTCATTAGTCAAAAAAGAATATGGACAATTTCCCTAATGGCGAGTGGAGACAAAAGAAACTTCAAATTCCAACATTTTAACAGCAGTGGAAATATTTTTTTCCCCCAATATTTGATAAGA